CCTTTGGTGCTTTGCACTGTCGTATTCTTATATGTGCTTTTAAGAGGGATGGGACTCTGATAGGTGTTTGCTACAGTGTCCTGCGAGGGGGGGGGAAGGCAACTAAAACAAATTATTTTCAAAGTTCTTTGTGCACTATGAAAAAACATCTGTAGTGTGAGGTTTAGAAAGGCAAATAGTCTGTACAAATACATCTGTAGTAGAGGTTTAGAAAGGCAAATAGTAGCAATTAATAACAGAGCCTGGGAACTCTTAGATGGGTTTTTCCAGGTGACTCAAAGGATTTTTTTCATTACCATTAATCTGGTCAAAGAGATTTCTCCAGTGCTAGTACGATGGTGACAAATCACATGATACGGAGGAGAACTTCCTTAATTTGTCAGTCTGTATACGTGCTTCAAACCTTGAAATCTTTTAATACTGTACAATGCCACAAGACAGGGTTGAGAGGCACCTTGGTGTATGTGTGAAATCATCACTCTGTAAAAAGGGCAAAATTTCTGCCAGAGGCTTTCTTATGGGAAAATCCTTTATTTTGCTGGTTTCTAGCTGAAAAATAATCCTGTGTTGAAATCATTTTAGGACGTTTTGACGCTTCCTGTAACACTGATAAGACAAGGCTTAGTTTTCCAATGCACTTAACCATGTGTTGAAACCAACTGAGGCTTATGCTCAGAGAAAAGGCTGTGCTTCAACTGCCAGAGTCATTAGGAATTGGCAATTCCCACTTGTAGGGGTCTTAGGATGAGAGTTTCCTATTTTACACATAAGGACAGCAGGATCCAGTCTGCTTCCTTGATGATGTAAATGACTGTTTAGTCAGTGTGTGGAGGCAAGGTACCAAATTCTCAGGCTTGAGCACACACAGCAGCACCAGTGTTTGACTCACATGGCATTTTCCATCTCAAAATCTCAGGGCTCTCTCAGTAGTACTATTTTACCATCTTCCTACAATATAAGAAGATAAGCAGGGAGGAAGTGAAATGGCTTGCCTACAGACATCCAGAAAACAGCGGTAAAGCAAACACATGGGAAGTGGGTTGATGTCTGTCCTTAATCTTGGTGTAAGAGTTTGCACTCACTGGGAGTAATTATGTGCAGTGTTTATGGCTGGTTTGGCTGCTTTGTGAGGTCTTACTCAGTGCAGTGGAGCAATTCCCATATTGTGCAAGTAGGATAATCACTTACATATTTTTGGCAACCTTGAGAAAGAATTGCCTGTTTCCCACCCCATCGCAACTGTGTACCATTGGTAAGACCACTCTGGGGGACTTGTGCTGCCACCCACTCCCTGCCCAGTGCATGGCAGAGGATTTCAGCACGTAGGGCTGCTGCTCTAGCAACTCTCATGAGGATGCAGCTGCCTGGGCAATGCTCTACTTCATTAGGTCAGGATCGGGTAGAGACCAAGAAGGAAGCATCCTGCATCCCAGAGGAAAATTTAGTCTTGTCTTCACAGTTGTCAGTTGCAGCTCTTTTGAGACTCAGAGGAAAAATACAGCCTAGACCAGGCCAGGGAATAGGACTAGGATTGAAGCTGAGCTGGCAGAAAACTGGACGGTTTTAATCTGCTTCAGGTGATTGTTCCATTCTACCAGGTATCTGTGGAAACATGTCACCATGAATCCTTCTCAGGCCTTTAACAGCTCTGGTTTGCAGCCATCAGGTTTGAGAATTGGCAGTGCTCTGGAATTTTGGGGGGTTGGGGAGTTTTTTGTTTTGTTTTGTTTTAGTTAGGTGTAGGTTGGTCAAGTTCTAGTCTATAGGTTGTATTCCAAGTGAGCTTGAAAACATGATACTGAAGACTTCAGCCCAAGTGACGAGAAGAGACAACACTATAACTTTGGAAAATCAATTTCATTAGAATTATTTTAAAGTAATTTCTTCTATTACCTCATTAATACCTGTATCTTCCCTATTCTTTTTCCTGCATACAGTTTCAATGAATTAAAAGGTTAAGGTTGTGGGCAATAAAAGAAAAATATGGGGTTATCGAATGAATTTCATCTTTCCCTCTCTAAATGATTTTCCGTTTCTCTCTTTACTGAGTGACAGTGTGAGGACCCTCTGGCACACCGCTCTGAGTGTGTCATGCTCCCCAAGCACTAGGGTTGCTTGTGGACATCCCACTGCTGGGGCAGCAAGATTGGCAGGTCTATAAAAAGAAGACAGAAGGATGAAGTTTAAAATCGAGTGCTAGACTACTTTTCCCTTTCTCCTGTGGGTCTAAATCTCACGGAGGTTTCAGTGGCTTTTAAATTCCATTTTGAAATGGGGTGAGGGGAAGGAAATAATTTTTGTAAAATAAAAGTTAAAATTTACATTTGCCATTTTGATTCCAGGAGGTAAAATGCCAAATCTTGTAAGCTTACAGCACTGACTTTGATTCTTGCCAGAGGTCCAACAAAATTGTGCCATTTCAAAAATCAAAGTGGTTGGGAGCGTGATGTATGTTTGGGCAAAACAAATGTCAAATTTGTATGCTTGAGTATTCATGATCCACGTTTCTGGATTTATAAACAAGTTTTTGAGCCAACAGTCCATAAGTATCAGCCTGATGGAGAACAGAAACACTGCTATTTACTTATCCAACTAATGTGAACTAATCAATACACCTCAAAAAGTGAGTATATGAAGAAAGAATTCACGCTTCGTCTGCAAAGTTGAAGGAATTAATTGAGCAATTTTTGATAATGAAAGCATTATAGGAAATTGCAGTCTGATTATGGAGCAGGAAAAGAAACAAAATGTACTGGTTACCTTTCTCTTCATGAATTAGTTTCTCTGTTGCAATAAAGTCTGTTGTGAGAGGTCTAACACGTATAATGTATAGCAATTATCACTAACCATCATGCACAGCACCTATATAATATCACCTGCTGTTAAAGAGCTGTTTAGAGGGCATGAATCGATTGTCAGTGGGTAAAATTCTTTAATTCATCAAATTATTTTCTTTTAATGCTCTAAATGTGCCATTTTCCAATCTGAACTGTGAAAAGCTCCAAATTTCTAGAGCTTTGATTTGCATAGAGAAATACTCCCACTGTCCTTCTCCCTTCCTCTCCCTCCAGACTGTGCTTGCTTTTTTAATCCCTGTTAACCACTGAAATCAGTCCATATAAAATGTCATAGCTGCTTGAAGAGTTTTCTCAAGCCTTTCCAGCAGGGCAGGCACAATTGGAACCTTGTGGCACCAATGACAAGGAAAAAGTTTCTGAGGAATAGGAATTGCAGCCAGCATGGGTATGTGTGGCTGCAGATTCTTGCCTCTGCAGTGGTTCCCTCTCTGTAGAAATCATCACTAACTTAACTCTTTCTTCCATTTTTATAGAGCCTCTTAATTTTCTTTGGTTCCCAATAAAAGTTGGAAGTATAGGTAAAGTGCTGATTGTAGTTCTGTGTCTGTGTTGCTATGCAGCCCTACACATGGAAAAGACCTGCTAAGTTTCTAACTCCTACCATGTTTTAAAAATCTTACAAAAAAAGAAATAGTTGAAGGCATTGGTTTACTTATGCACTTTAATACCTTGGAAAAATTAGCTGGATAGCTCCAGGTTTGATTTTACATTCGATTTTATTTTGTACTGTTTGTTAAAATTGTTGGTGCTTATTTATGCATGTTGTTTGTTAAAGATTAATTGATGTGAAGTATTTTTTTAGCTCACAGAAAAATGGCACAGCAAAAGCTTCAGGAAACACCTTCTTTTGGGAGACTCTCATTGTCACCATGTAATCATGTGGCAGAAAGCTTTTTCCTTTAAAGTAATTGCCATAAACTCTGTTCTCATTCACTGGCATGTGGCATTCCTGAAAAAATCTCTGTAGTTTCCCTGGTTCCAAGCCATGAACTTCTTGTCATATTTTTAAGGTGGAAGCTGTCCCAGGAGAAGTGTGAATGGAAAAGTATAGGCAAGTTGTGTTAATATATAGTACTACTAGTTATAAACCTTCAAAGGTCATAAATCAACATTAGCAGTCAATAGTTTTTAAATGAGAGTTTGATTTTAGTTCTTATCTTGTTTGGAATGATTCACGTTACCATTTTCTTGAGGTTTTTCTCAATAAACAGCAGAGCTGGAAACCCCCAGCAAGAGCTGGTGCCAGGGATGCTCCCATGGGCTCTGGCCTCGTGGGAAACTCTTCTGTGACCAGAGGAGCTGGAGGTCTGTGAACTATCCTGGGATCTGCATTTCAAATTAAGGCATTGGAAATCCTATAAATAAACCAGAACATCTCTACAGAGGCAGAGGCATTTTTTGTCTTCAGCCTATAATGCAGACACAGCTTCCACTGTTTTTTTGTGTTTTTTTTTTTTTTTTCTCTCACAGCTTTTTGGAGGTGATACTGAAAAGAAATGGAAGGTGGTGCCATGAATGTATCTATGTGTTCCCTTTTACAGTACAGTTGAGAGCCCTTCCAGATGGGGACTATATCCAGATCCCCATAACATACATAATTACAACATCTCTGAAAGTTTATTTCATATGGTTAATTTCAACAGTAAATGACCGAAGTGATCACATTACTGTTCCAGGCCTTGTTGGATAGGCAAAAAACACTGCGTCTTTGTCTTACTTTTGTAGATGACTTTGCAGAGAGCAGAATCCAATAGTTCAACTGTTATTATTTTTTTTTCTGATTTCTGTGCACCCTCTAAGGATGTTGATGTTGTTCTTACAGTAATATATTAAACACAGTTTATGTAGAAATAGGATTTCTCCATAATTTGTATAATATGAAATTTTATTAGTTTACATTATAAAAATAATGTGACTCTATTTCTACTGCCTTGTTTTGCATATTCTTATTTCATTCACCATATATAAAAATTATTATTTTCCTATAAACTTCACATTATATTGCTCACTTCAATGATGCTCATTCCCTTCAATTGTATTTTAAGTATGTTGTTTGTTTCCCTGATAAAAATGACTAGAAGATTTTCAAAAAAGGAAGCTAGCTGCAGACATTATTTTTTCGTTTTCTATTTTTGCAGTAATTTTTCTAAACCTGCCAAAAACTGAAATCCAAGTCGAACCTGATGCCAAACCACCATTACAGAACTCAGTGGAATTGTACTGTTTCAGAGAAGAAAACATCCTCACCTGCATTTTGAAGTGAATGTTATATCCTCATCTTAAAGGCAAAGTAACTATTCTGCTCTCATTTCAACTAGCTGTAGTACATGGGTAGAGAATATATGCATCAATTTGATAAGCAGGAATGTTTCTGTATTATTGCTGGCTACTTGCATACCACGTAAGGTCAAAACTTTTATCGTATTTCACATCTGCCTTGCTATTGGAGTGATGTGCAAATTGTGGCTGAAGTGCTGAACCACACATGATGGCAGTGGCTGCCCAGGCTCAGTGTACTTTTTTGTGTAAAGAAAGTGTTGTTGGGATAGACATTTTCCACCAGTTCTGGGTAAAAGATGGTAGGTTACATAGAGCTATCCTGGAGGTCACATTCTAGTTTGGTTTGTTACTTATAAATGCTAAGGTTAATAAAATCTCTTTTTATTCTAAAGATAAAGCAGAGAAATCAGCTAATGGCATTCCACTTCTTGGTGCCAACTGGGTGGTGCCAGAATGTACACAGTGACAGCAAAGAACTGAGCAGACAGTGATTCAAAACAAAGAAAAGTAGTTTTGTGTTTCAAAGGAATTCAAGCTGCTTAGACTTTCAAAGAAATGAACCAACCAAAATCCTGCTGTAAGATCTGGGCACTAGTGTGAATGAGGTCTTCAGCAGACCAATGTGTGTGGTATGACCAACAGAACCTCTCTGATGTCTTTTAACCTGTTCTCAATGTATATATGGTTGCCAGATGAATGATATGCAATATTAATTTTTATAAATGTATATAAAATGTACTTTTGTATATAGAAATATTTCCCTGTAACTACTTCCCATAAGAATATGCTTAACTAAGGCTAATTTGTTTATGCCAAATGTCTAAGTTAAAATGGTTACCACCAATTAAGCCCTTTTACTCAGAACACATCTGTGTCCCATAACGCCACAGACCAGGGTGCTGGCCTATATTAAAAGGGATTTACTCCTGGTAGCTTTCCCAAGCAGACTTGGAGTTTGAAAAAGCTATTTAAGAGATGAAGACACAAGAACTGGCTTACTTTAATGTTTACTTCCAGTGAATTTATATACAGGAGGTTATTGTAGGAGGAAAAGCCTCCTACCATAGGCTAATTAGCAAATGTAGAAGCATCAGAATATTTTTCCAGTGCTGAGGAAAATATTTTCCTCTGCAGATGTTCACCTAGAAATAATGCAATTTCAGGTCATTTTGCCATTTTCTCCAGTCTTTTTATGTCATTGTAGTGCTACCTCCCTACAGGGAAAAAAAAAAAATCAACGTGAAATTGCCGCACTTCTGTGCTCAGAGGTCTCTAGAGATGAGCAGCTATGTTTGCCTAGCCACAAGTAGATGGCTGGTAATTGAAACTGGGCATTTATTTCTCTCACTCCTCTTCTTTGTGTATTCAGATGTCTGGCTTGGCCTGGTGCACCGGGATAGCTCTGGTAGGCAGCTCTTTCAGTCATGTTAGTATGCTTGGGTGGAGGAGAGAGAGCACCAAAGTGCCCTAATTGAGAGAATATGGCACATCAAGCCCATAGTCAAGAGTAAGTCTTGAGGAAAGGCACTTTTTTAGATATTGTAGTCAGCCAGTCATGTAGGCAGCCAGTCATCAATTGCAAGCCTGTAGAAGTGCAGCCTGCCTGGGACTCTGGGGATTGCTAACTTAAGAAGTTACCAAATCTTTAGTATGGAAAACCTGCATGTATAAGGATGAAGGTTGCTTTCTGAGTGGCTTTCCTACACAAAACAAACAAACAAAAAAAAAAACCCTGCCAAAACCAGCTAATTCCACTCTTTCTAAATGGAGATGTCAGCTCTGTGACATCTCACTTATCCAGCCATAAATGGGTTCCTAGATGAGTCATAGAAGTTCTAACATACTGTTGCTTTTTTTATATATATATACTATATATATACATAAACAAACACATATTTGTACTGATCGAGTATGATAATGATAATGGCACCATAATGTCAGGCTATCAAAAGGAGAGTGAAGTATTTCATGTCCTCTGAAGGTCGAGTTTCTTACCTTGCTCTGTCAGGTAAGTGAGTAGATGTTTCCTAACAATAAGTGAAGCTGTTCTTGACTCTTACTTAGAAACGGTTTGAAAATAAGTTATCCAGAATCTAAAATATTCATGAAAAAGGATTTAAAATACCACCCACTTCCTATTATTTTAGCAGTAAATTAAAGCTAGTCACATCTAACAAAATTATGAAGATGGTTAGATTAGCAGGGAAAGAATTCAGCCCTATTTCAGCCTGCTGAAGCTACAAAATAGTTCTCTCTGGCCCCATTAAGAGGTTCAAGAATTGTAACAGGGCTCTCTAGATTTCTATTAAAATAGCATATACAGTATGATTACAATGCATTATATCTTTATATAATATTTATTCATTTCCCCCTAGTCTTTTGAACTTCATGATCCTTTGGTCAATTATTTTCAGAAAAGGAAATTGAAATTTCTTCTGTGGCAACTTTGACAAATGTGTAGCATATATATTGTATAGTATTCTCATGGGAGAACTTCAGAAATAAAATTAGTTCCGTCAACATGCCATGAGTTCATCAGCTTGGGCCTTCCTGAACCTTTTGTCATGGCAAACATGCAAAGGGCTCTTTCATCTTCATCCCTGCTTAGAAACATTGTCTAAGATAACTCTTATTAGTCTTCCTAATTACCTTTCCCATCACCTACCCTTCTTCTCTGAGCATGTGTTTAATAAAAAGGTACAATTTCCCCATGGAAAAATAAGTAAGAAAATCTATATGTATGTGTGTATATAAATATATACATATGTATGTGTACACACACACACAATTTAGAGGAAGAATTACTATCTCACCAGGCAGTAGATGTCTTCCATTTAGCAGCAGGCCAAAGATGATGATAAAATCATTAATTCTGTCAATATAAATGCTAAATAGAAAGGGAAATTGGATCTCTGCCTTGTGTCACATTTTCTCTGGTAGGAAATTATAGCAGAGAAATTGAATCTGACGCACCTTTTGCTTTTATAGCCCCTCATCAAAGGTACGGCACATAGTATACAATAAATAGCATGACACCTCTTAATTAAACAGCGCTATTGTTTAGCCCAGAATAAATGCCTTTTTTTCACTTGGCCAACGAGCAAGCTACAAGCTCCCACAGGGATCATAAAGTAAAGAATAAAATAAAAAGACCATAAAGTTAACCAAAATCAAATTGACAAGCCTGCACTAATTATCTCTGGTATTATAGCACAGCAAAGGTGGCTATAGGTTGATAGATAATGGAAGTGAGCTCATTAGTAAGGCACTGAATGGTTTAATGTTTGGTAAGAGAGCATTTATTGCCTTTAGTCTAGCTATTGTATACATTGCACAATTTTCCAAATTAGCATATCAGGTTTGTAAGTTGAATTCATTACTAATAGAAAATGACTGCATCATAACCAGGAAAGTCAATTTTAGACGTATGTATGCTGTTTGAATTTCACACTGGATGACTGCAGGGGCTTGCAGAAAGAATGGTGAGGAGAAGTAGAGGGACGGTGTGTGTGAAATAAATGAGTCTGATATTACAGTGGGAGTTCAGTCACAACAAGTATATTCAAAATCTTCCTTGTATACCTGTGATTTAAAAGTAATGTATTTCTAAACTCATAGAATACTTCTTGTTAGTCGTGGATGTGATTCAGCTTTCACTAAAGACTGTACAAGTGAAACACCTTTTCAGCTTCTTCTGTATCCTCTTTAATTAGTTTATTCTCCTCCTAACAGGAAGAATGCTAAACCCCCCTCATAGAAGGCCACGGCATTAATAAGGATCTCTAAATGTAATCAGTTGTGGTTTTTTTGTTTGTTTGTTGTTTGTTTCATTTATTTTTTTAAACAAAACTAATAAATCTTTCTGATAAATTGGATTCTTTTGTTCATGCACTCTTTGTAAATTATTTCCCTAAAAGCTCAGTCAAGAACTGTTTGTGAAAGAGAAGTGCTTTTCTTTCTGGCATATGAGGTAGTTGGCATAAGCAGTTTTCTTTAGGTCTAATCATTGTGATTCACAATGAACAACTCTGTAATGTGAATTACTCTCTTCACTATCAACAGTGGAGACTGAAGAAAAAAAAAAAAAAAAACAAAAAACTCTGTGTAGGGGGAGGAAACTTTGGAGCACCTCACTGTTGGGTTACAGAGGGGAAATCAAAGGTCCTTCCACAGCTGCCCGAAGAATTAGTCTCAACTAGAAGCTTTTGCAGAGAGCTCCTACCACAAGGCAGTGAGCTGCCCCTGTTTGTCCTCAGTGTCTTCTGTCTGCCAGGGGACAGGTCCCCTGAGACATGGCCAAACAAAGGCGTGTGTTAGCTCTTTCTCTGCACTGCTAAAATCCTACAAGTCCTTCCTAGCATGAGCTTCTAGGAAGCTCCAAGGAGCTGGAGAGCCTCTGGCTAGCGCAGAATTGGTTGGTGCCAGGTGCAGGGAAGAAAACTCCACTGGACAAGGGGATGTTTGTGACCTGCAGGAACAATTATTGCCAGTCAAGCCTAAGTCACCATTCTTCAGCTTCTAGAGTTGCACAAACATGGCAGGTAGCAGGGATTTTGAATTTCTTTTCCTTTCATTTCAAGCACTGAAAGGAATCTGTATAGAGGACTCCAGACATGCTTTCCATTTTGATGCTGATGATCATAATTTGGTATCTTACCTAACTTTGAACAAATATATATGCTCTTATTTCATGTCTAAGTTGCCTTCTAAGTCTTCATAAGAAAAGATAGCTGAATTGGTACTCATGAATTGGCTTTGCAAGGAAACAGTCTGGTTTAAAAATCATCCTAAACGCAGTTGTTTCTTATAACTCCTAAGTAACACTAAAAGACGTTGTTGAACTCCCAGATGCACAGAGGCATTTTAAATGATGCATGTTTCTTTTACTAGCTAACCTTTACTGATCTTTCAAGTCATGTTATCTTTAGAAATCAATAAACTATCAGCAAAAAGAAACTAAAAAAACATGGAAGTTGCTCAAAGACCTTTCTGTGACTGAGTGCAAATGATGGAAAACTCTCAACTCAAATTACTGTTTGAAATATCATTATTCATAAGGGCAAACAACCCGTTTGCTATGCCCATTAGCCTGAATATGGACAACATTAAAAAAGCAGCACAGCTGAACTATGAAACCCATTGAAGATGAAGTGTATGTTATAGCTGTGTTCACGTGCAGTATTCTTGAGCGCGCTGTAGCGATGTGGCTGGAATACAGAGCAAGGCCGATTACTATCTGAAAAACAGAACTGGTAACTGACTTAATGTCACATATCTTTTGCTGTGCTTTCAAAACTGAGGGATTGTTCCAAAATTCAATGTTCTGCATGGAATGTGAATGTGATTTTGGTGGTTTTATTTGACTAAGGTTTTGAATTGATCATATTTTTTTACCATATGTAGCATAATAAAACCTGTATAAGAAAAGACAAAGTAGTATGCACGTGGTAAATTTAGATGTGAAGTTAGAGCCTTTGGGGAGAAAACAAAAAGCAATAAGAGTGAGTAAACACAAAGCATTTTTTTCAAAGCCTGTGGCAAAATCTCCACCTCTCAGAAGCCTTAATTCAAGTTTAGTGTTTTTGGAGGACATGAAAAATTAAAACTAATGTGAAGAAGCACAATTAATAAAAGATTTAATCAGCAGGAGAAAAATCTGATAAATTTCCAGTTCTGCCTTGCTTCAGAAATTCTGGGCTAACGTGAGGATTGTCTCAGCTGCCAGCGTTTTCTCAGGGATCTTCACAAGCATTGTAGGCACAGCCCTTCCTAGCAATCGGACATTATCAATTGACAGATTTTATTGGTTCTGGATTTACTTTTATGATTGTGTCAGTAAGTTCTACAGTAACCCTTATAAGTCATTATTTTTCATCTATACTGGTATTTTTCCAGCCAGCTCTCTGTGATAACTGATAACTCCAGCATTGTTTCCTAACCTACCATGCTCTCAGTGTCATCATCTAAAAGTAAGTCTGAAAATGATGTCTATCAGCAAACAGGCTCAGGGATAGTACACTTCACTGTATATCATGCTGATTTTTATACCAGTTTAAACCTGCTGACTTCAGTATTTCTGTCTGTCTCTACTATGAACTTAGAAAATGGCTTTCAATTACCATTGAGCAATTGAGTTGCTGTTTAGCTTTGGGACTCTGCAGTTTTCCTTCAGGGGCTAGAACTGGACTCCAAGCATTCATGAATCCATCAGAACATCTTTTGAGTGCTTGACCTAGGAATGGTATTGGGACTGAAGAGACATTTGCATGGGTGTTTTGTGATTTTGTGTGTACAAGGGATTATCAGTCTTTGTTACACACACTGAAATTCTCTGATGGAGTATACTTCCATCAGGGGGAGGTGTTGGAAATAAACCTTTTGAACTTCTCATCAGAGATATGGAAGTCTTCAGGCATGATTTTCTTTTGGTTTACCTTCTAACCTCTGTTGAGAATGCTAGTTCATACTTTCTGGTGTGGTTTCACTGAGTTGAATATCCCGTAGGATCTCTGTACTTTGAAATACCTATTTTAGGGTTTGTGGCTGTGGCAAGTTAATGACTTTGAAAGTTTGGAGTATGTTGGACAGCAAGACCCCTGTGTTCTAGGTTCACCAGTTCGTGAGTAGTATTAGGTGTTTCTGATCAGAAGGTACTGGACACAGGATAGATAATAAACCACCCTAGATTAAGAAAGTTGAGCTTACTTTTATAATACCTTACATCATGATTTCTGTATTTATTTTTGGTTGTTGATCAGATTAAACTAAATCTGTAGAAATCCAATGTTTTGCAAACTTAAGCAAAATACATAGGTTAATGTAGAATAGGAGAGTAATATCATATGGTGTCAGATAATGGAGATTGGTGTTATAAACAAAGTTTTGGGTTTTTTTTGCTTGTTTGTTTGTTTGTTTTTTCTTTGAAAGTATCTATTATGTTATGAAAAATGATTTTTTTTTCTTGTCTTTCAGCTGAATAGAAGACTTTGCACATACCGATGGTATTTTCTTTTTACATTCCTATTTAGCAGGCCCATAAATTTTACCCTCTGTGCTCCCTTTTTCCATCCTTTTGGGGTTTAAGCTTCTGGGCATGTGTATGTTCAAGAATTATCCTGCAAAATACAGGTTGCAAAAAAGAAGCTAAGTGTTCTTAAAGTAGCAGGACCTTAGGAAAAATACCAAATATTGCCACTAACAGTATCATTGTATTTGCATTGTTCTTTGATTCTTCTGAAATGTCTAGAACTATTTTGCTGCTTGTAGATATCTAAAATGAAAAATACTGTGTGTGAAATAATCCATATTACAAATGTAAAACAAGTCTGGAAATTTAGTAGAAGAGTGCCCATTACGAGTGTCATCTTGTGTGGGAGGCATTTTGCCCAGTCATTTTCTTTTTGTGTGTCAAAAATACCTTAGGATTCTGCTGACTGGTGCCAAATATAAAGCACAAAGAAATTCAGACTTGCTAGGAGACCACCTCTAGACTGAGAAGAAACATATGCTCCAGAAGCAGTGTTCTTTTTCATTTGTTCAGCCTAGCATAATCCTCACATTCCCAGACTGACTCTTGTCAGGATTTAAAAATGTATGTGGGGGCAGCTGGCGTAGTTTCCGTTCCACTTTATTTAAGCTGTGCCTCTTAGCCTGCCACAGACTTGGCAGACAAATGCCAACTTTCTTCAGCTCTGGTAGAGATGACTGAACCAAAACACTTATATTGATTTTAGGATAATTTAGTACCCCTGCGTCAGGAAGAGGTTCATGGATTCTTTTATTCATATTTCTACAGTAACAGTTTAAATTGGCAAAAATTCACAGTTCAGACTTCTATTGATATGGAATAGAGAAGAGCATTGCTTTTCATTAGCTTTAGAGCTGTTAATGAATGATTTGATATGGGCTATGTGCTTTCTTGATGACCTCAGACCACCTGTTCCTGTATTAATGGCATACTTTCTTTTATCTACAGGTGAGACTTTCTTCATTTCTTTGCTCTGAAGCACTTAACTTACCTTGGCATTGAGTTCTGTTATCAGTAGTCTGATTCCAGGGTACTGCCTCCAGGAGCGGATTTGCACAGACCTCTGGAAACATACCTGCAGTTACCTAAAGGAAAAGGAAATGGCAAGAACCAGGCAGACAAAGAGATCCTGAGATCATGCAAGTAAGAACTAACAGTTGAAATCAGCCTTAATGTGTGGGTAATCTGTGCATAATGTTTGGTGTTTCTTTTTCACTTCATGGGAAGTTTGTGTGTGCAAAGAAGGCAGGACAGGAAACACTCATCAGAATCCTAATATACGTGTGACAGCATTTCAGTTTAACTAAAGGGAATGAGAGACAATAACCAACATAAATACCCATGTCATAGCAGCATTCTGAAATGGCATTGCTATCTATGACTGTGTGGGACATAATGGAACAGATTTGTTTATGTGAGGAAATGTAGCCTCAGGTTCCTGCCAGGATGGAATGAAAGGAACAAGACAAATGTAAAACCAAATTTCATTTCCATTTCATCGTATTTGTGTTTGTGGACTGCAAGTACTTTAAGATCGCATGCATACAGTTGCAAATCCATCAGCCAGTGAACCTAAAACTAAATAATATTAAGTACAGTGAAAAATGTGATAACAAAATTTCATGTTGAAACATATTTTGAGAATGCTGTGATTCCAATAATACCATTCACCTACCCTTGATGCCTAGGGCATGTGTAGATATGAATTTGCTTGTAGAGACAAATACTCCAATATGTGTAGAGTTGAAGGGCTATCTTTTTTTGAGAACTCCTGTATGCCACATCTTCTGATCTGACTGTAAAACTTAAGATAGTCAACATGTTTCCTCGGTTTCTGGAAACAAGAAATAACTGACATTTCTTTATTAGCTTTGTTTCCTCTAATTTTCCCCTGACTTTCTAATATTCAAGACTGAGAAAAACGTTGTCCCTTTATATATTCAGAAATTCATTCCTTCTGTCAATATTTCATGTTTTTGGGGATGGATGTACCAATTTTGACTATTTTTAATTTTTAACTTTTGAAAGCCTAAATCTTTGTACTTCTATTGTTAACGTGTTATATTTCTACACATAAGGCATATTTTCTGTTCAAAAAGAGTGAAGGGTACTGAATGTAGCCTGTTCCTTTTAAAACAAAATCAAGTAATAAGAAGGTGAAGATGGTGACCTTGTCTTCATATATGCAGTCTAAATGCATGTGTTTTTTAGCATTAACCTTTGGAACTTTTAGCTCAGCAAGAAAAGCTCTATTTGAGGAAATATAGGTCATAAACACAGACTCTGCTGGAGTTTAGGATGCGGAGAATTGACACAGAGCCTTCCAGGTTCTAACAGCTAGTCAGCTTGTGTGTGTCAGATTTCTATTTCGTTTCTGATAATAACCAATGCTGTGAAATACAGATTAAGCAAATGCCCAAACAAACAAACAAAAAAAAAGGTTGTTTAAACCTTAATATATTTTTATACTAGGAAAAACATTCAAGAGGGAAACCCAATTGCCTCTACATTTTTCACCACCAGTTCCTTGTGTTCTTTTCTTCATATCCTATCTGTTGAATTGCTGTGTAAAGATATAATGACTGTTTTCATCTTTATAGCTAATGCTTAAAATAGACAGTCAGCACTAGATAGAAAACTGGTGGGAAAAGAAATATATATATATATCAGTGGAATAAGAATCCTCCTTAGAAAATAAAAAGAAGACACATTTACCCTTTTGTCTTCCCTCAGGTAAAATACTCAGGTCTCCCTGGTTGAGGATTCATGATGATGAGTAGATTGCATGTGCCTTATTTATGTTCACATACATCTATGGTTAAAAATATAAATTCAAAGCAAATGTATTTCTATCACAGTACGACTGCAAAGTCAACAATTCATCTATCTCGCCTTTTAGGAATCTTTAAATATACTCATGTGTTTGTTCGACCTCACAAGACTGATGCACAGTAATGGTTATGCTGGCAGGTGAACCAATGGGATTTTAGGGGCCATAACTTGTGTTGAGAGTTTTGTGTTTCTCTTGTAAAATCTGACCACAGCAGCAGTAACAGTAAAAGCAAAGCTAGGAAAGGTATTGCTCATTGAGCTGCAGGCACTCGCCGTGTTATTAACTGTTGCAAGAGGAACACAATACCTGAACTTTTTCCAAGCATGGTAGAGAAGGAAATGACTTTCACAGTTAAGTTGGAAAAGGTGTCTGCTGGTGTTTTGAGTTTGAGGCATACCATGTAGACACTGTTCTTGGGGGTGGTGGGCTGTGCCCAATGACTGGTGGAACAAGAGAGGGTTAGGTAGATAGGTTAAAGAGCTGAATCTGCTGTGTTTTGTGAATTACAGACACTTGCTTGTCTTGTGCAAGGGTTGTTTTTCCATATACTTCCTACCTGTAAGCTCCACACCTGCTGAATTTCAGTTTAAGCAAGATGGTTTTATTTCTCTGAATACTGAATCTTTAAAATCATTTTAGTAATGGCAGAAAATTAGTATGACATGTTGCCAGCAAAAATACATTAATCAATTTCAGAATAATAAAAAGTAATTCAATTCACAGAGAATACTGGTTTGGAAAACTGAAAAGATGCATGTTTTCCAGCTCCACTTCTGTTCAGGATGCTACGGAGTCATGTTAATGTTTGACTGTACCAAAGAATTTATTGGCCTGGGTTTCAAAAATAATTAGTGAGTACAGTTCCCTTAATCATACACAAAAAAAGTCTTGAGGCCAGTTTGTAGTATAACAAGTGTATCTGGACAGGTTTTTTTGGTTTGTTTGTTGGTTGGTTGAAATGAAAAAAAAGAAAGGAAATGTATTAACTCACATAAAACCTAAACAAAAATAATTTTGGATGATGAGGGAAAGAGAGTTTTGTGAAACAACATACATAATTTTATTTTCAATTTAGCCTAAAACTTTCCCATTAGCTCAAAATAATTTATTGGTTTTGTTCTGTGTTTCCAATTAAGGTTAGCTTCTAGATGTGAAATGATACTTCAAAATGCTTTTAATACTCCACCACTTCTCAAAAGTTTAAAAGGAAATACTTTAGCATTTTCAAATGTTTCCCACCCATTTCTTTCAACCAATACTATTTGCTGAATCCACATTTGGTTTCTTGACGGTTTTGGCTTTGGCACAGTTCAATTTCCACTGACATCTCCCGTCTGCTCAAAAAAGTACCCAACTGATCATATGTCCCCTAGTATGGAATAGGTGCATACATCTGGTAACAGCTAATACAGAAAATGAGAGATATGTTACTACAAGTAATGTAATTTCTTAATTCTTTTTCTTAAAAATGCAATTCTTAAGGAATCAGGGTGCTAAGGAGAGAAGGAGGGAGTTGAGCTCAGGTTGAGACTCGAGTTTTATGTCCCTGTGATTTCTGAAATTATCCGGAGATGTGATCCGGACAGATTGTATCGCAGGTAGTATTACCTTCTGTGATACATATGGTGGAGAGAGCTTATATTGTCACAAATATTGAACCGTTCTTTTATTTATTTATTATGTGTGATTTCTGCAGATAATACATAGAACGTATTGAAGTCTGCTTCCCTATACTAGAGCCCTGTAGGCTTTAAGGATCTTTAAAGCAAGATTTTCTGGAGTGACTTGCAAAGCTAGATACAAACTGACACCTTCAGAGGTTTAATATCTGCCTTTACATCATCGTCATCTCCTCACTTCTTATTTCTTCAATTCAGCCATTAGAAGGGTTGGTTAATCATGAACATTTTTCAATAAGAAAAAATGTGAATGAACACTTAAAAATCCTCAGCATAATAGAAAGCCATGGAGAAGTAAGTGAGAAGAAAACTAAATAGCTGTTATCATAATCACTCGCCATTATTAATATTGTGTTTCACAACACCATATTGTATTTCAAATGGTGATTTAGCATAAAAATAACAATACTGTGAGTTTTAATACATTACTTCTGAAGAATCTTTGTTGTAGAGCAAGAATAAGTTTATTTCATTTATTTCAAAGGGTTCGCGTTATTTCACAGGGTGCTTTTTGTATAGGCTCAGAAATGAGAACTGTAATTTTAACAGTGAAAAACCATGATAGGTTAATCGTACCTGAAAATCCTGCTATGAGATAACAGCTGGAGGAATGAATTGCTTATGTAGGCAGATGGGGGCAATTGTCTCTCTGTACATTTGAAAGGGTATTGATTTTTCAGTCGTGTTAAGGATGTAGTGCTCTTTATTGGGCAATTTATTGTTTTGTGGTTTTGTTGTTGTTGTTTTGTTTTGTCTTATTTTCGCTGTTTTATATTTTAGCAAGAAAGGTTCCCATTTATTGAAGCTTCTATAGCAGTAATGAGATTGTCATTTAAACTAATGCTGTTTGTTCAACTGATAGAAATGTTGTAATACTGCCATATTGATTTTGTTTAAAATAAAATTCTGCTTGTAACATCTCTGGCAGCTGCACTACTGGGAGCTTATTTTCAGCCTAAGAAAAAAAATACTTATAGAGATGCAATTTTTCAGATCTAAAGTGGTGGAACAAAAACATGGGAGAGAAGAGAGTGCTTAGTTGTTTTAAGGGTGAGTGACTCTGGAGAAAAGAGTGGTGTTGAAATGGTGGGAGGGAAGAGGAGAAGTGTGTTTGATATCTGAGTGTTTCATGACATTTCTTTCTATAAGTTTCCTTATTGTAGATGAAGCACAGTGGGAGGATAGCAAACTCCAGATCTCTAGACTCTAAAAACTCAGCAAAGGTGATAGCTGACTGACTATTCTTTGTTGACAGCTGTCTCTATAGCCTCCTTGGCAAGTTCCTCCTTGGAAGCCTTTCACCAGAGACTGCAAGCTCTCTCCATTGAACAGCTAGATAGCTTTCATGTTTTGTGAACTGCAAAAGTTGAACTTTCTTCAGAGTATCTTGTGTCTCAGAGAATTATTTCAAAAGTTCTGTCTCTCCTAACCATTAGATATATTTTGATTAAATCATGCCAAGTTTATTTGCCCGATGGAATATCTTGGTCCCTGACATATAAGATAATGTTAATGAATATTGAACTGCTATTAAAATAATATCCAGGAACAGTATCCTCTGTATGATCTAGTTAGGCTTAATATTATTTGACATTAGAGAAGAATGTGTTACAGATAAAGGATGTCACCTG